GGTGGTGGGTGGACAAGGGTGAGCTGTGTCCAGATTCAGGGTGGACCTTACTGAGGCTCTTGAACCCACCTCAGGACAGAGGGCAAGTTGTAGAGAGGGGTGAGGTGCATCCGGACTCACGGTGGGCCTTCCCAGACTTGGGAGGTCCACTCTTTTCCTGTTGGCATCAGGAAGAAGTGAACAGGTGTTGATGCAGGAGGTTGGGGGTTGGGCAGAACAGCACCCAGACTCACCTAAGGGCACCAGCTGCCGGACAGAGGTCAGGGTTTAGACAGAGCAATCTTTACTATTTTAAACAGTCTTACACATAAATATATTGGCCCCCCTCAGCAGACAGAGGGCGGAGAGTGGGCTCACACTTGCTGTTCTTGCAGAGGACTTATGGCAGCTAACAACTATCTGTAATTCCAGTCCCAGGGGATCCGATGCCCTCTTCTAATCTACTCAGGTATCAGACACACATGTGGTGCACAGATATAAATGCAGGCAAGACATCTTATACGCATAAACAATAAATCTTTTTTTTTTCAGAGTTTGATCTAGCTATATCAGTTTTGAGTACACAGGCATCTAAGCATACAACAGATTTACTGCAGCACTGTTGACAATAACCAAGATATAGAATCCACCTAGGCATCTTGTCTACACATGAATAGATAAAGAAAGCATAGCGTCTAAATGAAATGGAATTTTATTCTACTGCAAAGAAAAAAAATAAATTTCAAGAACGTGGATAGAACCAGAGCTCATAATGTTAAATAAAATAAGCCAGATCCAGAAAGACAAATATTACATATTTTCTCATATGCAGCATCTAGAACTAAGAAAGAATAAAATCTGAAAGCAGAAAGACTATTTTGGAAGAGGAACGGTACTAATAGGAGGTGACGACAAGAGAGGGCAGTGGTAGCGGGGTGAGTTCAATCAAAGTATATGAGGCACACATATATTGTTTAATTATACAATATCAACTAAATTAACCCACTTTAACTCAGAGTTACTGACAGAAAAGCAAGGAAGATGTCTTGGGATCAGTTTAAGTGTTGCCTCACATGTGGGAGGTCTCGATTGGATCCCCACATCACTGGTGGGGGCCAGCCTGGTCTATACAGAGAGTTCTGGGACAGCTAGGGCTGTATAGAGGGACCCTGATCCAATCACAAACAAACGAGGCTATGACCAGCACTTCCTATTCAAATTGTAACAATGACCCATAAGGAGATATTTAAAATCCAGGATGTGGGATACTGAGTGATAAGTATCCCTTACTCCTCAAAGCTATACACAGTGGAGCTGGAGATGGCTCAGTCAGCAAACTGGCTTGCTGTGCAAGCATGAAGACCCGAATTTGTTCTCCCAGAGCACATAGCAACAAGTTGGGTGCTGGCCGGCGTTGGTGGCGCACGCCTTTAATCCCAGCACTCGGGAGGCAGAGGCAGGTGGATCTCTGTGAGTTCGAGGCCAGCCTGGGCTCCAGAGGGAGTTCCAGGACAGCCTCCAAAGCTACACAGAGAAACCCTGTCTCGAAAAACAAACAAAACAAAACAAAACAAAAAAACAAGTTGGGTGCTGAACATGCCCCCAGTGCTTGGGAGAAAGAGATAAGAGGATCCATGGGGTTTGCTGGTCAGCCAGTCTTGCCAAATTAGAAAATCTTAGGTTCCATGGGAAGCTCTATCTTAAAAAAAAAAGAAAAAGAGCTAGAGAGATGGTTCAGCAGTTAAGCACATGGGATTTTCTTCCAGAGAACCTGGGTTCCATTCCTAGCACCCCCATGGTGGCTCACAGTCATCTCAACTCCAGTCCTGAGTGAGCGAGTGCCCTCTTCTGGCCCCAGCAGGCACTGCATGCGTGAGGCACACAGACATACATTCAGGCAGAACAACCATACATATAAAATAATAATTTAAAAAGGTTTTTAAAAATGATGTGGAAGAGCGATTAAGGAAAACCCCCACATGCGTGTGCATATGCGCGCGCACACACACAACGCGCGCGTGCGCGCGCGTGCACCCTGTCACACATGTATATACAAACATGTACACACACGAAACAAAATTAAGAATGAACAAAGGAAAAACTGTAGGTGATACTTTAATTTGGGAGTTGGAATTTTTCTTTAAAAATTTTTAGATTAGTCTAAAAGATACCTACGTGTGTATGTGCATACATGTGTAAAGTGAGCTTCCTGGCCCGGCTCCGCAGCTGCCTTTCTCTGCCCCAAAGAAACACACAGGCGCTATATAGTTGTGAATACTGTTGGCTGGTGACTTGGACTTCTTATTCTTAACCCATAACTACTAATCTATGTATTTCCATGTGGTCTTGGCTTACCAGACCTGCCACTCCTTTGCCTGCTACATCACGACCGGGCAACGTCTCTGCAGAGAAGAGCGATTTCCTGCTTGTCCCTGCTTATATACTGATTCTGCTTATATACTGATTATGGGATCCCAAGACAGCTCCTTTCTGCCTACACTTCCCAAAATCCTCCTTGTCCCCTAGTCCCGCCTATCTTGCTTCCCTATTGGCCGACAGTGTTTTAGTCATCAACCAATAAGACATATTTACAGAATGACATCTCCCATCATACATCTGTGTGTGTTTTTCTGTGAGAGTGTGTGTGTGTGTGTGTGTGTGTGTGTGTGTGTGTGTGTATGTACCCCTGTGTGTGTTTATATATACCACATGCATTCAGGTGCCCAGAGAAGGCAGATGAGGGGTGTTGGATTCACCAGGACTGGAGTTACAGGTAGTTGTAAGCTGTACATTATGTGTGCTGGGAACTAAACCCAAACCCAGGTCCTCCGTAAGAACAGTAAGTACTCCTAAGCATTGAGCCATCTCTCCATTCTTCCAATAATCCATAGGTGTTTTTGTTAAATCTATGTGGATTCTTTGAAATACAGTAAGTTGATGGTAAAGTTGATGTTATGTGGATCGTAAAACCCTTCTCACACTCTCTCAAGAAATCTTAAAAAAACATTCTCACCAGTATGAAATGTACAATGCATTATGAAGTTTTGGACACAACAGAAGGCCCTCCAACACTGTTTACATTTATAAAGTTTCTCACCAGAATGAATTCTATGAAACATCCCAAGATGTGTCCCGTTGTTGGGTGGGGGCAGCACACGCCTTAAATCCCAGTACTAGGGAGGCAGAGGCAGGCAGATCTCTATGAGTTCAAGGCCAGCCTGGTCTACAGAGTGAGTTCCAGGATAGCCAGGGCAACAGAGAAACCCTGTCTCAAAAAAGCCACAAAACAAACAAACAAGACAGACAATCAGGAAGAAAGAAAGGAGAAAAGAAAGAAAGAAGACTTCTGAGAAATACACCAGGGAAGAAGAGTGTGGGTAGCTCTCTCCAATGAGTGTGGGAAGCAAAGATGTTTGTCCCATGTAAACGCTCATCAAAAGGTGACTTCAGCTGAGGAGAAGTCCAGTAACCAACCTCTTTCCCAGCCATCCCTGCCATTGACAATGAGCCCAATGACAAAGTGGCCCTGGTGGCAGAGATGGGGGTTATGCATGGGCTCAACAACACAGACTGCCACTCACCAAGGCTGAGCTGGCTATAGCTAGTACTGCTGAGTGCCAACAGCAAAGACCAACTCGGAGCCCCAGATACGGCACCATACCAGGCTGGGCTACATGGTCAGACCCCGTTTCAAAATAAACTGGGTGGTGGTGGCGAAAACCTGTAATCCCAGTACTCGGGAGGCAGAGGTAGGCAGATCTCTGTGAATTTGAGGCTGGCCTGGTCTACAGAGCGAGTTCCAGGACAGGCTCCAAATCTACAGAGAAACCCTGTCTTGAAAAACCAAAACCAAATAAATACCTCAATTTTAGAAAATAAGGTTTTCCTTGAATTAAGACATCTTCCTAGTACTAAATACCGCATTATGGCAGATGTCACACAAGCAATTTTAAAAAATAGGCAAATGCTCTTGTTTTTGTTGGGAGGGGACATGAGCTCCTAATTTATGGTAATATCATATTTAACATGTTATGCACTCAGGATGCACATTTTGGAGCTTTCCCTCAATTTTAAGAGGCTGTGAACACAAACACACTCTGTAGACCATGCTGGCCTTGAACAGAGATCCACCTGATGCTGTATACTGAGTGCTGGGTCTAAAGGTATGCACCACCACTTGTAGCCCTTAATTTTATTTGTGTGCAGCTGAGTGTGTGTACGAGTGCACACCATGTCCTTGGACGCTAGAAGAAGGCATAAGATCCCCTTGGAGCTGGAGTCACAGGTGGTTGTGACTTTGTTGTTACTTAACCACATGGTTAGTTATTTAACTATGCTGTTATTTACTTTACTACCTGGTTATTTAGTTAACTTGTTACCCACTTAACTACCCAGTTATTTACTTAACTACTCACTTACTTAACTACCCAGTTGCTTTCCTCAATAACTTACTTTACTACCAAGTTATTTATGTAACTATCTTGTTTTGTTTTTTCACATTCACTAAAGTTTTATTTATATTTCTGTATAAAATGTTTTGCACACAGAAAAACCCTGTCTTGAAAGAAAAAAAATTGTAAGTATGTGAACTACATACGTCCAGAGGCCAGGTGATGAGAAATCCCCTGGAACTGAAGTTTAAGACCTTGTGAGCCAGCCAGTAGGTGTTGGAACCAAACCAAGGCCCTCTATAAAGGAGCAAGCTTTCTTAGTTGCTTAATATACACATTTTTGTCACCATGGTTTCTAGAACTTTTACAAATCGTTATAAACAGAAACTTTACCCATTACATAACTACTTCTCCTAGACTGGCAACCAACATTTCTGCTCCTATTCCATTTTTTGATTAATTTTTTTAAATAAAAGGGTCCATTGTGGACTGATCAGATAGCTTCTATATGTTTAAGCCTTCTTGTTCATGTGTGATTGAGTTTACTGAAGAGAAAGGTAACAGAAAATGGGGTTGGATAAAGAAAAGAGTTAAGACGTAAAATTAATGGAGGCCGCCTATCCACAGGCCTTAGCTGCCCTGCCATGGATCTGCCCGGTTCTTCCGCATCAAGAAGTTAATTTTTCGAGCCATTTCCATGTTGCAGATCCTCTGGCATGTTTCATAGCTCTCCCGCTGGCGGCGGCGGCAGGGTTTCTCATAGCAGCGCCTTCGCTGTATGACTTCAGTAAGCCGGTCAGTAGTGAGGATTTGATCATAGCTTATTCCTGTGAATAAGGAAATTACTCTGGAATTCAGAGGTCTGTTGTCGCAACTGGAGAAGTGCAGTCACCCGCAGAAGTGGCCTCATGTGGTATAGGATTTAGCAGTTCCTCCCTCTTTATATTTCAGAACTGATGTGGTGGGGGAGCATGTGTCAGCCCAGGACTTGGAAGGCTGATGGGAGAGGATCTCAAGTTTCAGATGGGCCTTGGCAACTTAGATCCTGCTGCTCAGGGTCCTATATGCACCTTGCACGTTCCCCTCCGGAACCATCACAGCCCTGGCAATGACTTCAGGTGTTTAGCCATGGCCTTGCTTTCAAGTCTTCATTCTTCAGGACCTACTGACTACGGCCTCAGCACCCAGTCTATCTTGCTATTTGCATAAGTAATCTGTTACTTATTATTTAACTGCCCGATGCTTGCCCAAGCCTATTTATTTTTGGAGTAAACGAAGGCGAGTGTTGAGAAGCACGGTGTGTTCGATGATCACCTATAACCAGTACCAAGGACTTGAAAGGATCCAGCACTGCTTAAAATAGCTGTCACCCAGGTCTCAGACTCTACCTTACAACTCTCCCTTTTCCTGCTTGCTGGCTTTCTCCTGGTCTAGACCACTCTTGTGTGATATTTTGCTTGTGTTCTAATAAATAAAGCTTGCCTGGTGATCAGAGGGTGGAGCTAGCCACGAGTTAATCATAGAAGCTGGGTGGTGGTGGCAGAAAGTGACAAGGTGGGGTGGAGACAGGATCTTAGCCCTTTTGGCTGGAGGAAGGAGACAGGGAGGAAGTGACCGGTGGCTGCTCCTGGTTCTCTGATCTTCCAGGTCTTTACCCCAATATCTGACTCCTGGTTTTTAATTGATTAAGATTAATTAGATTAACACTTTAGACTACTGGGTGACTTTCTGTTACCGTATAGTCTATTGGCCTGTTTTCCTACCTGGTCCCCCAGTCTCTGTCCAGCTAGAATCAGGGAGTTAGGAGCCTCTGTCTGGGGTCCAGCAGAGTTAATCTTTCTCCCTCTGATCTTGGAAGAATCATTTATATATATTGCAGGGTGGTGGTGGTGCACACCTTTACTCCCAGCACTCAGGGGAGAGACGCAGGAGATGTAGGCCAGCCTGGTCTACAGAGCAAGTTTCAGGGCCATACAGAGAAACCCTGTCTCTAAAAACAAAATGAAACAAAACAAAAAAAAGTTCAAGAAAGAATAGCATGTTAAGACTTAAGAATAAAGGACAAGTTGGATAATAAATGTCAGCACAGAAAGTAATGCTACAGAAAAACAAATAAAACAATTTCAAAACCCTCTGAAAAGGTTAAAAACATGCATGGGGAGGACAATCTCAAGAAAGAAGAGAAAGGAAAACAGAAGGAAAATTTAAAAATAAATATAAAATGGAGAAAGCCTAGATGTTTATCAATAGACTGAATGAAGGGGTAATGAACACGTGACTTGTGCACAATGGGACACTATTCAGCTTTTAAGAAAAATAAAAGTTATAGGAAAATACTTAAGGAAGATGACCCAAACCCATAAAGACAAAGCCACACACTCCTTTTCATATGTGTATCTTAGTCTATAAAGCATGTGTTCGTGTGTGTGTGTGTGTGTGTGTGTGTGTGCTCGTGCAAATAAGTGTAAGTGCGCGCCTTTAATCCCAACACTCGGGAAGCAGAGGCAGGTGGATCTCTGTGAGTTTGAGGCCAGCCTGGTCTACAGAGTGAGTGCCAGGATAGGCTCCAAAGTTACAGAGAAACCCTGTCTCAGAAAAACCAAAAAACAAAAAACAAAAAAAAAGGTGTAAGTGTATATGTAAAAGTCTGAAAGTCTAGAAAGGACCACAAAAGGGTAATGCTAGGTGACAAGGAAGGATGGAAACTAGGCAAAAGGACACACAGGACATGAAAAAGGGTTGGGGGGCTGCAAAAGGGGGGCAGGGATTGCAGAGGAAGTGGGGGAGATGGGGGAAGGAGGACCAAAAATGTGAACTTTGTAGAAATATTTCATGATGATGTATAATGCAATATATGCTGACTTCATATGAAACGTTAAAAATAATTATAGCTCCTTCACGTATTAGAAAAGATAATATGATTACAACTCTCATGCTAACCACAGGGATGGGAAAGGGAAATATTTCTGAAAATTACACTTAGCAAAATTCACATGATGAGATAGAAATTAAATCATATCCTGAGCAAGTGGGAGCTCACAGACTCCAGACTGACAGCTGGGGAACCTGCATAAGACCAAATTATGTCCCCAGAACTTAGGTTCATTTGCAGAGCTTGGGCAGTCTATGGGGCTGCTGGCAGTGGAACCAGGATTTATCCCTAGTGCACAAATGGGCTTTGGGAGCCCATTCCCTATGGGGGGATACTCTCTCAGCCTAGATACAAGGAGGGAGAGCCTAGGTTCTGCCCCAAATGATGTGACAGTCTTTGATGATCCCCCATGGGAGGCCTCACCCTCCCTGAGGAGTGGATGAGGGGATGGTGGGGGGATGGAAGGATGGGAGGGAGAGGGAACTTGGATTGGTATGTAAAATAAGATTTTTTTTTAAAAAAAATTTAAGCCGGGCGGTGGTGGCGCTCGCCTTTAATCCCAGCACTCGGGAGGCAGAGGCAGGCGGATCTCTGTGAGGTTAAGGCCAGCCTGGGCTACAAGAGCGAGTTCCAGGACACCCTCCAAAGCCACAGAGAAACCCTGTCCTCGAAAAACAAAAAAAAATTAAGTAAAAATTAAAAAAGTGAGTCATCCTACAGCTATTTGAGTTAACCTATAACTAACACCCACGGCCATATTCACACAACTTCCAACAAACAGAACACCACTCCAAGACCCTGGGGACTACACCAGTCAAACTATCAAACATTTGAGGAGAAGAGAGTTCTCTCTAGCTAACAGAATGAGGGAATGGTGTTCACCAGTTCATTCTACTGAGCAGCAAATAACTAAGCATTACCACTGAGAATGAGAGTGGACAGAGGAAGTAACTCTCACCTGATATAACTGCAAAATCTGTCTCTCCATAGCTACCCAAACCAAGTGCTGTGCTAGAAAGATAAAGTATTCCAAGGGAAAAAAAAACAATCATGTAATTAATGCATGGGGCCATGGTTATTTCAACGACACAAAAATGTTTGGTGAAATTTAACAAATGTGACTTTGAGTTTATTTTTGTTCTTTATAGTTCTGGAAAATGAACTGGAATCTTCACACGTGCAATGAACAAACTCCCCTCCTGTGAGCTACACTCCCCAAGTCTCTCGAATTTGTTACTTAGTGGAATTTTATTCACATAGCAAAGGATAGATATTCTTTTCCTCACTGAAATCTTATAGTGATATCATATTCAAAATTAAAATGTTAGTCTTCTCTTTGAAATACTAGACATGGCTTAGTGAAGCCCAAGAGGAGCTGGATCATTCAGGAGGCAACAAGAGTTAATGATAGATAAGCACATTACCCTTTGACAATGGTGTGTATATAGAAAATACTTTGTGTATATAGAGTAGCCAAGAGAATCAATGGCCAAGCTTGCAAACATCAAAGAGCTTTGTAAGACTGATAGACATCATGCCAATTATGTTATAATCATACTAATCTATCAATACTCAGAAAAGAAAAAAATATTTACTCTATGTGTGTGTGTGCGTGTGCGTGTGCGTGTACGTATGCGTGTGTGGTTCCTGCCATGGTGTGTCTGGGAGATCACAGGACAACTTGTGGAAGTTGGTTTTCTCCTTGCATGAAAGGGGATGGGACTCAGGTTGTCAACCTTGCCAGCAGGTACCTTTACCCATTGAGCCACCCTGCCAGTCTGAAAATGAACACTTTTTGGAGGGACATTTCTTAACAGCATCAATCTCTATAATAATTTTTAAAATAAGTTATGTGTATAAACTTAATGAAAATTTAAGAAAACAAATCAATGAAAGTAATACCCTAAACAGATGCCAGTCACTTCCTGCTGCTGGTGGTTAAGGCTACTGCAGAAGAAAACTCCCTGACATGGTGTCACTTCCTCAAGACACTAAGCCATCAATGACAGAGTGATAGCTGCATTATCTTCAGCCATATGAGTGTGAGGGTCACTCCTGGAACCTAAATCCTGACTCCAAAGTCCAAACTTCTCATAGGATGTTGATCTTTTTTTTCCCCCATTTCATAATGGATGGCTGTAGTTTATGTAAACTATCACGTGTGTCCCAAATTTCCTTTATGTCCTGACCTTCAGGACAGCAGAGGGGGGCAAGAGAGTCAGGGATAGGGAATGGGGACAAGAGACACAGAAAGAACGACCACAAGACAGGATTCTGATCAAGTGGCAAACTTTACTTTTCGCTCAGGCTAGCTTATATAGTTGGCAGAGCAGGATATGGGGAGGGGGAGAATGGGTTGTTTGTGAGCCAGGTGTTAGTGTAGACAGGATATTAGGAAGCCACAAATAGGATGTTTGGCAGGGTAAAGAGTTCATGAGTAAGAGGTCCAGGGAAGGGTTGCCTAGGTGACTGAGCCTGTGGGTGGAGGACTGGGTCAGGTTGTTTCTTTTCTTGAGCTGAGGTTCTAAGGAGCTGCTATGTAAAGGTTAACTATGTGGCCGGCCAAGCATGGCCTAGGATCTCATGCCAAGCCCTGAGATTCGGCTCCCAACATATTCCCCCTTCTTTGTATAAAAAGAAGTGGCCAAATTTTTCAGCAGAGGGGAACAGAGGCCTGGCCCCCAATTGGAGAATCTATGTGGATTTTTTATAAAGGACATTTTTCTCTGACCTCAGGGACAGCTCCTTGGAGCCATCTGAAAGGCAGGACCGTCCGGATGCCTTTTGTGGGGGTGGGAAAGCTTTAGGACATGGACCCCATTGCGCGCAGGCATATTCCTCAGAAGACGAGGTCTCCTTGCTGTACCATCCAGGTCTGCACCTCTGAAGCTGGCGTGGGGAAGTGGTTGGTATTGGGCCAGGACGGGCTTAGTGGCAGAGTCAACTTGTTGCTTGACAAAGGCCACAAGTTGTAGGGGAAGCTGTAGCCACGCCTACTTAGGGGACGTAGAGGGACTGCGTTTGCGCTTTCGGTTTCACTTTGCTTCTTGCTGTACAGACTGCTGCCACACCGGCTGGCTAGGTCGCTCTGTAAGTAAGGCTTTTCCCTGTTAAATACCCTTATATTTCTACCTGACTCCCACTATATTTCCCACTATAACAAGTAATTTCCCACTATAACAAGTCGATTAAAGGCCCAAGGGCCAAAGGAAAATAATAAGAGGAGCCCTATCAAAGGTCCAAGGAGGGAAGGGAGGA